ATGGAGGGACGAGCATATCTCTCACATTTTCAATTTATCAGCTCATAAATTAAAGCAGCTGCTTTGAAAATAAACATATCACTGCATCTCTGAAAGTCTGCAGGGAATATCTGAAAATGCAAAGGTTCAGATCTTTCTTCAGGACTTTTATCCAGAATAACCAGGATGATGTGATAAAAAAAGAGAGCTTTACTTTTTCAACTACAGGAAGAGTAAAGAAATAAAACCTTAGGAGTACCTGTTTGATGGAACCTGTTTCCTACAATTAAATGTTTTTAAAAGATTTATGTTATCCAGTCCTCTATGGTGGACGTGGGGGAGCGGTCCTCCACATTGGAGAACGGGTTCCAGCAGATAACTAGAGGAAAATCAGACATGGGTCCAGTTCTAAGGACAGATAAGATACTGCCAACAACCCTCAGGCTCCCAGGGGTCGGGTTGAGAGCCCAACTATGAGACGAACAAACCAGCCACCCGGCCCAGGAGTACAGGGTGTTTGAGAGAACAGTTTTAATGGAGTTAAAGACACGATATAGAAAAAACTAAAAGAAAGAAAAAAGAAATCAACATGAAACTTGTATTATTTACTAGTTTTCTTAAATGTAACCTCTCCAAAGTTCATCTCCCACACTTAAAACTTCCAGAAGTAGATTTCAGACTCTTCCTTCCTTTTTGTAAACTAAACGTTTAATTATCTACCCCAACAGGTCTTACCTACTGAACTAAAATGTGGAAAAATGCTTTTAGACCGAAAACACCAACTTTAAGCTTGTTCATACAAAATCCTTCATAGAGGACTAGGGATGGGAATCCAAAACCGGTTCCTGCTTAGAACCGGTTCTGAGTGTTCCAGTTCCATGGCACCGTTTGGCAGCTCGCTTCACGTTTCTCTTAACGGTTTCATGCAGCACCAGAGCCTAGCGGTGGGCAGCACCACTTACATCACGTTTTTTTACGCAAGTTATGCACAAGGCATTCAGTAAGTACGACGTGACTGTGATTAGTGAAAAGTGAACATGTGAGTGAAAGGTGTACTACTACTGCACAAAAATTGCCCATACTGGGACGAATAAAAGCTACTGAACTAAAGTGAACTGAACCAGGCGTAAGTCTAGGAAAGCAAAACAAAAAAATGGCATCCCATCGGGTAAAGCTGGGCATACACTGTGCGATTATTTCAGTGGTTGCACGCATCTACTGCCTTGCGGTTTAGTCCAGTGTGAGCTCACAGCTCACGATTTATGTTCGGCCCGACGCTCTCATGCGATCTACCTGCTCACACTCTGCGACTAAAAACCACTCAGTTCCTCAGCGAGATGGAGCTGCTCTGACTCGTCTATTCGGAAGACAGACGAATAGACGGGGAATTTAAAGCTCACTAGAGTGAAACGCGCTGCCTTGGATATTTGGGCAATTTAGTGCTGAAAGCCCTAAAAAGAAAAGGAGACGACGTATTTAGACAAAGATATGGCTGAGCTAACGCGGCTACTACGGCCTGTCAGTTTTACAGACAGAACAGCATTTCACTCATTGCCCCCCCGCCATGCTGCTGGGTTTACAGAAGAATCCTTGTTGGTGCATACGCACTTAGTGATTTGACCACATGTTTGATTTTTTCCCGTTCTCCCGATTCCGGATCAGGAGGTGGTCGTTAGAGGCTGATCGCCCCTCGTTACTCCCTGTACACTACAAGACTCAGGATGCACGATCAGGCTGAAAGTCGGGCTGATTGAAAGGTTCTCGCACAACTGGAAAATCGCCCAAAAAATCGCACAGTGTACGTCCGGCTCAAAGCGATTGACAGTTTGGATGTAAAGTTTCAATAACATCCGCGGGAGGAAATACATCCAACATGCAGAAACACCTGCGCACACAACATGGCATGTATTTTAACGAATGCCGTGTTTTTGATGCTTCCGGACAAAAGCTAAAGTTACGACCAGCATGGAAGGAAACTCTGGTGGCTAGTAGCTAGTTTTATATCACTGACTGAGCTTAATTAGCTTCCTAGTAAATCAGATGCCTTTTCTGGAAATTAACCAATTTCCTATCTGGGGTTATTAAACATGCTACCAAGTGGCTCCGCAGTTCAGGGAGCGAGAGAAAGCTGACGCTCATTTATTTAAATCAGGATGAGGTTAGTTTGTTTCCCCAAATTGTACAGTAATGCTTTTTCATTAAACGGATGCCTTCTCCATTAGATTTAGATGACTTTGAGGAGACGGGTAGCCTAAATGGATCAGAGGCTGCAGCTCCCGTTTACTGCCTTCTGTTTTCACAGAGGCAGGCAGAGATAGAATGTCCCAGGAGAAGGTAGACGAACATCACCATAAATTTACCAAGTTCATTGTTTCACAGAATCAATAAGAGAATCGATAAAAGAATCGATAAGGGATCAAAACGTTTTGCAGAATCGATAAGGGAATCAGAATTGTGAAAATCTTATAAATTCCCATCCCATTGCAAAAGACAAAGCATTCTCTGTCATGACAGATATGAAAAAAAAGGCGTTTTGTTTCTTGTTTGGAAGATTTTTTATCAGAAATGACTGAATTGCTACAATGGTAAAATTTGTCATTGTTCATAATAGAGTTCAGAAGAGCTCACTGTGATTCTCAAAGCTTCGGTTAAACTTTGGTCGGTTCAATAGAGACCATGTCTCTGAAGCAGGATGCTGGAGGTGAACAAAATCCAGCAGACGCTCTGCTGCACTTCTTCCAGATGGTAGCTGACCGCAGACAGCGCCGCAGACAGGAGGCCGGCTTGTTTTGTTTGTATGACCGTGATTGCGGAAAACAACTCGTGAAGTTGGACCAGCTAGCAGAGCAAGGTGTGCGAGAACGCTGGGACCCTTTTTCCACCTGGATCCCCGCTCTTTTTGGCCCTCATCTCCCTTCATTGTCAGACAAACTTGCCCCCACTTCCTCACCGCCTCGGCCGTATCTAGACCCACAGCGTGCAGCGCAGATCACGCTCAATTTGGGCATAAACCAAAAATGTCTGCGTCAAGCTCTCTGCGACACACTGCTGCGGGAGGATAACCAGCCCTTAAGGCCTTGGTATACGGGTTGTGCGGCTAACCACTACGCATCAAGGATTTTTTAGTGACATATTGTTAACTACCAGTAAGGGAGGTCCCGTAAGAAACCAAACAAACATGGATGCTAGAAACTGGCTGGATAACAGGGAGTCCAGATCTCTATCAAAATATGATGCCTTTGGAGTGAAAGTCCTTAAAGCTCTATAGTGACCTTAGTATCCTCAGCGCTCTTCCTTTCTCTCCTGCACATTTTAATAAAGACTAATGTGTTTGCCGACATCGGCTCACTCTAATTACTTTGATTAATGGCCTCCTTGCCTTTGGTAAACAGTATGAGCTGTGTTCCAATTTATTCAGGGAAATTAACCAATCAGAATTAAATGCTCTGATCATATTCCCTCACCTCTCAATGAACACAAGGGCCAAATGTGCTCTGATTCATTTTTCCTGGTTTTCTGTCACTGCCGGGATAATAGAAGCCTTTCTTTGTCAGACATAGTGCACATAAAGACACAGCCGTCCATTTAATGGCTCATTTTTAATGAGTGTGGGGGAGAACTCAGAGGACAGGTTCTCTTAGAGAACTTGTCCTTGCTGAAATGTGAAGTAGTGTTTTGCTGGTCAGATGAAGAAAATGGTACTCTCAGTAAACAGAACTGACCTTCAGCAGGTTTAGATGGAATCTACAGAAATGGAGAATAAAAGATGTTTCTAGAAATGATTCAAAGGAGCCTAAAAAGATTGGATTTGTTATCAGCTTTTCATGGGTTTTGACATTTTTTCACACAAAAAGGGAGTTCTGACTTAAAAACTGGGTACGCTCTGATTGTAACGATTAGGTCAAAGAAAGTAGCAAAATTAATCTGACTTCACACTATGAGGTATCCAAGCAGTTTGGTGAGAAGGACTCTGGTGGGACCTGATAGTGATTTGCTTAATCAGCCAATTAAGATTTAGAGATTTGTAAAAATAAGATAAATCAATCTGTACAAAATTAAATCTACGCCATGTAGCGTTGACATGTGTGTTTCCACCATTTCACTATTTTGACCATTTCACTATTGCCATTCAGACTGGAAAAGTTAACAAAGAAGTCCATCCATCCTTCATCCATCCATCCATCCATCCTTCATCCATCCATCCATCCATCCATCCATCCATCCATCCATCCATCCATCCATCCATCCATCCATCCATCCATCCACACCCTTCCTAACAGTCTGTGGTTATTACAGGTTTACTTAAGCTAAACCACTTTAAAAGTAACCTCAGTGTTTGTTACTTTATTTTCACCCACATAAAAACCTAAAATGAAGAAAACAGCTTAAGATTTTCTTTTCTTTTTCTACCGACCAGAGCATGCTTCTGATGCACGTTATGTAGTGCAGAAAAGGCAACCTAGAGAGCTCTGCACTTAGCAGGACAGAAAATCCAAGTTTCTGAAAGATAAATTGAAAAGGTCAACATTTCAGCTTTTCTCAGGCTGTTAGACAGGCAGCATTGTGGCTGTTTGTAAAGAAGCTGTCAAAGTCATATGTCATGTTTTGACTTCTTTGAGAGCTTCCTTTGCCAGCTTTCTTATCATCCCTCAACATTCAGTCCAAGTAAGTCAAATAAAAAAGGAAAATATATAAACTGAAACATCTTTTTTCTTCAGAAATAAACATTAAAATAGACGATTGAGTTAAAATGCATATAATTATAAACACCTAATGTTTTGCCTTATGACTAAATAAAACTAATGATTTTGTCAGAACAATAATATTTAAAGCTCAACTGAATAGGGACAATGGAACTTTTTCTCCTATGAAAGTGAGTTTTTAGGTCCGTCATGAATAAAAACTCCAGCTAGTAACAAATACTTCATGTACAGTATGCATATTGTAAAGCACTGACTTAAAGTAGAAACATAGAGAGAAGTAGTGTGTACCATCAAATCCCTGTCTGTTCTTCTGTTCAGAGCACCTGAAGGTGGCTTTGGAGGAATACATGACTAGAATACCAAAGGTTCGCATCCTGAGGACTAAAAAGAGGGAAGGTCTGATCAGGACTCGGCTGCTAGGAGCAACAGCGGCTAAAGGAGAAGTTATCACCTTCCTGGACTCTCATTGTGAGGCCAACATCAACTGGCTGCCTCCTCTGCTGGGTGAGCAACACAAACAGGCATTCAGTACCAATTGTTTGTGCCCCTTTTTTTAAACAATTATGCGCACTTTGCTTATGAGAGATATCAGAAAACATGTTATTAAACTTCTCATGTGCATCAGCATCCAGTGGAAAATGGGAGATGAATACGTCTTTTAGACCGTGATTTATCACGATCTTCTCTGCATCTGACAGCGGGAGCAGCGGGACATCAGGGCTGAGCGGCACTAGATTAGAGCAAGATGCTATACAGATAGAGCACCTCAGCTAATCAAAGGCGATGAGTGGGTGGGGCCAGCTCTGAAATTATAAGAGGAGGAAGTATGATAAATGATTAAAATGGCTTTTTTACAACAAAGCCACAAACTTCCAAAAAGCATTGCCTTACTCTCGTGAGAATGTTTTTTAGATTTTGAAACTCCAACGACCGTCGCTGCATATCCATGGCAGGTGATGCGTTGCTGTGGCATCATGGAAATTTGCCAGTTTGCATGGCAGCCCTCCTGAACACGCCTCTACATACAGATCACATATAAATGCCTTCTGGTGTGTCATGATTTAATTAAAGATCTGACCCAAAATGCAGAACACCAAACAGAGAGACCAGGGAAAAGTTTAACAGGTTTATTTAGTATGATGAGATGAATCCAGTGCTGCTCTGAACACTGTCAAACCCGAACTGGAAAGAAAAGGGGGAAGACACTGCGGTTAGTTCAGGCTCAGTGGGAAATTAGATTCTTTGACTTGAAGAGTAGGAATAGGTTGCAGACTCACGTTTCCAGAAAAAAGGTGTCTTAATTGAATCCAATCTGTGTGGGATGTTCAGTGATTGTCTTGTTTGATAGTGGGCGGACAAGGTTTACTCAGACTGCGGTTGTTCCTTGGTGAACGGAGAAGCTGACTGCCACTTAGATTTCCTGCGGTACTTGAATGGGTTATTGTGGAGATGAATCCCCTACTCAGAGAGAAGCCCCAGACAATCCTTGGCGAAAAGGTTGATCCAAACTATAAACTTGAATCCTTAGCTCAGTTTGGCTCTCAGAAGATCCTTCCAGAGGAGAGAAGGTCAGAAACATCCAGTTTGCAGGATGACTTCCTGCTGAAAGGCAAAGACAAAAGCGCCAAGATTAAAACTCAGGTAAACAAGAAACTCAGTTTGACTCAGCAAACTCAGCTTGGCTAAAGTACCCAAAAACTGGCAAAACAAAGACTTAGGTTAGACTCTGCTAAACTAAGCATGGCTAGAGTACCCAAAAACTGGCAAAACAAAGACTCAGGTTAGACTCTGCTAAACTAAGCATGGCTAGAGTACCCAAAAACTGGCAAAACAAAGACTTAGGTTAGACTCTGCTAAACTAAGCATGGCTAGAGTACCCAAAAACTGGCAAAACAAAGACTTAGGTTAGACTCTGCTAAACTAAGCATGGCTAGAGTACCCAAAAACTGGCAAAACAAAGACTCAGGTTAGACTCTGCTAAACTAAGCATGGCTAGAGTACTCCAAGCTGTCAAACACTCTGGCGTCGAGGTAGTGGCAGTCAGCAGCTTAAGAACACTCCACAGGTAATGAGGCAATGAGCTGCAGGGTGCAGGGAGGCCCAATGAGGACGGGGGGCCACCAGGTGGAGGAGGAAAGGAAACACAAACTGGATTCCTGACATGGTGTCAATATATCAATAGTATATGACACCATAAGTTTACAATATTTTTTTCCCAGTCTATTCTAACTTTTATGATAGCTTTTTTTTATCCTCCGAAATACCAGAAATACATACTTTATATATTTAACTCTCTATATATTTAATATAGTATATTGTTTTTTCTTTCTAAAATAAGTGACAATTTGAACTTTTCCAAGATATTTTTTTAAGCTGCACCAATTCAATAACTGAATATTAATTGAATTAATGATTTAACCGATTAAATATTGAAGGCTCAAGTGCAACATCTTACCCAGATTGTTTAAGTGTTAGGTGGCTTTTCTTCTTTGCAAGTTAAACTGAATGAGATGTAGAATTATAAAGCAAAATGCAAAGTGCTTTAAATGTTTATTGAGTTATTCCTAATTACACTTTTTAATTCTCTCTTTAATAGTGTTTGTTTCTTTTACTATTGTTCCCAACTCTGTGAGGCCAAAGAAATGCAAGACATAAATATTACCACAGGAAATACACTTGCTGCAAAGAAGATTTCTAGAGTCAGCAGCCCGATTTTACAGGTCGAAAGTTTGATAGGATCATTAAAAACTCCATAGATTTAAAAGATTGTTTGCATTTTGTAAAATCTTTGCCCCCGCTGTCTTAATTATTCCGTAAAACTCCTTTCTTTACTGAACCAAGAGGTTTCTCACTAAATAAAACAGATGCATTTACTGGCACATCGCCCCTACTGAGAAGTTAAGTGCCTCTTCTCCAGCTTTAGATTTGCTAACAAACATGCCCCCACTTTCTCAAACAACCTTTTTGCCATTAAGGTTGATCTCTGCTTCTCAGCATGTTTCTGAGCCACTGAATAAAACTGAACTTTGGTCACTCCCCATTAAACTATCTACAATTCAAGTAATCAGATTAGAGACGTGATGTAGATTGTTATCAGTTTAGATATTCTAGACACTGCAGCTATTTTAATAGCATTTTAGTTATAAAAGTAAAAATTTGCATGGAAACTACTGATTTGCAGTTATAAAGATGCTATTTTATTATTAAATTATTTGGTCATTATTAGTCAGATTTTTTTCTTTTAAACATCTGAATGTAAAGTGAACATTTATTCTAATTTCCCCTGAATTAAATGTTACATAACTAAAATGGCCTATTGGATATAAATAGTTTAAATATGTTCAGTTCATCATGCTATTGGAATGCAGTTCTCGCTAATGTAATCGATCATTAAATGACAAACAGGGAATTATCTAACAAATCCCAGCTGATGGCAGCGAAATCAGTGACTTTGCATCAACGCTGCAATCTTAGCAACTACTTTGCTCTAACAGGAGAACAACAGAATAGAAGCAGGATTTACTTGAGCTCTGATCTGTTGCAGCTAGTTGGAGACAGAGAAGGAAAAAACACAGATTAACACAGAAGCACTTTTCCAAAATAACATTCAATGTTAAAGGAAAATTTAAAATCATAAATATGCTGCTATAACTCAAAGATAAATCATTCATATGAAACAATCATATTCATAAATGGCCCATAAGAGCAAGATCATTAAACATCACTTTATTTTGAGAATAAAGATTAGTTGATTTTATGCTATAGTCTATCATGGGCTTTTCTGCATGGAGTTTGGTCCATATGAGGAGCAGCTACTGAAACTGATTCTGCCTCCAATGATCAGCATCTTGGCCTCATGCTGAGCAATCGCTAACACAGTCTTCTTTTTCTAATCCCACTTCTTAATCATCTACGATGGAAGTAAAGCTACATGGAGCATGCTAATACCATAGCTTTGAAGACATGATTGAATATGTTCCTCTGTGCTTTTTAGACCGGATTGCACAGAACCGGAAGACCATTGTGTGTCCGATGATAGATGTCATCGACCATGACCACTTTGGGTACGACAAGCAGGCAGGAGACGCCATGCGTGGAGCGTTTGATTGGGAGATGTACTACAAACGGATCCCCATTCCTCCAGAGATGAAAAGAAAGGACCCTACTCAGACTTTTGAGTGAGTAAAATCCAAAATTAGTCATGAGAATGGATTTCAACTATCAACATCAAGGTTTCTCCTCCAGCCTTGAATTGAGAAAAACTTTCTGATTAGATTTCACTTCAATTGTTACCGTTTTGCAGTTGATTGTCTTGCTGAGTCTAGAAATGTGCTGCATGTTGGGGAAACTCTGCTGGCTCCATTTCTGCATTGTTCTGACATGAAACAAAACTCAACCCTTCAGTAAATAAACCTGTTGCCCTGACATCCACATAATGCAGGTGCTAGAGAGACCGCCCTGCTGGCCCAGCTGAGCAAGCAAACAAGCAACTATCATGACAGATTAAAGATGGAAAGTTATTTAGACAAGGCAGAGAACACTGTGAGGAGAAACCTGTTTGATTTCTTCAAAATTAGCCTAATTTTCTTCATCAAAAAATCCAGAAGATTCGCATGGTGGCTTCACCAATCGACTGGATCAAGGATTCCCTGACCAACAGATTCATTTGTAAAACTCCAAAGTCACGTGTCTAGACAGGCAGCATAGGAGCACCTCTAGCTCCCAGTACATGACAGACCCCCGTCATCAACAATCTGAAGTTATTGATGTATCGAAGATGGACCAGAAGCTGAGTACAGAGAGCTGGTCAACCGCTTTGTGGTTCACCAGCCTGATCATGTCTGATCCTGAAGGTGAACCACAGAAGGGAGATGATTATAGAAACATGAACCTGTCAAACAAAATGAGGAAGAAACCTCCAGTAGAACCAGGCTCAGTGTGAGCGGCCATCTGCTGAGGCCCACTGGGGTTCAAGGAGACAGAAGCAGACATAGAAAAAGAAGCATAGATACAAAAGGCAACTGTCAACCAGCTCCACAGGCGGCCCCGTCCAGGAAACACACAGCCAGGCAGACGAGCTCCGAGCCAGCTCCCATGTCAGAGGATGAAGAGAGCACATCCAGTTAGTCACAGTGAGAGAAACAGGACTACACTGGAAAACAGGCCAAGCTTCAACATCTAGAAACAAAGGTGTTGATGGCAGCAGCACAGCTGATATTTCTCTCCAGGATGGAGTCACAGCCAAACAGGAACAGACCAGATGAAGCTACTATGAGAAAAAGCAGAGAGAGCAGAACGTTAGAGATTGAACTAACAGATTCTGCAGAATAGGAGAATAGAGAGAAAATGATGCAGAATGATGAAATGGGGGTCCCTATGTCCTCCAGAAGTCTAAGCCTATAGCAGCATAACTATAGAGATAGATCAGGATAACCTGAGCCACTCTAACTAGAAGCTTTATCAAAAAGGAAAGTTTTAAGCCTAGCCTTTAAAGTAGACAGGGTGTCTGCCTCACGGACTAAAACTGGTAGTTGGTTCCACAGGAGAGGAGCCTGAGAACTAAAAGATCTGCCTCCCATTCTACTTTTAGAAATTCTAGGAACCACTAGTAAACCTGCAGATTGAGAGCGAAGTGCTCTGTTAGGAACATAAGGAACAATCAGATCTCTGATATCAGATGGAGCTTGGCCATTTAAGGCTTTATATGTGAGAAGGAGGATTTTAAATTCTATTCTGGATTTAACAGGAAGCCAATGAAGAGAAGCCAGGATAGGAGAGATATGATCTCTCTTTTTCATTTTCATCAGAACTCTGGCTGCAGCATTTTGGATCAGCTGAAGGCTTTTAACTACAGTTTGTGGACTTCCTGATAGTAAAGAATTACAATAGTCCAGCCTTGAAGTAACAAATGCATGGACTAGTTTCTCAGCATCACCCCTGGACAGGAGATTGCTCATTTCTGCAATATTCCTCAGCCTATTAAAAGCCTTTGGTACATATCCCTGTAACAGAGATAGATTAATCACATCTAAAATGGTGGAGGAGATCAAAGGGAATACCTCCTTAAATAACCTGGTTGGAACTGGATCTAACATCCAAGTTGAAGGCTTAGATGAAGACAATAGTTTTGCTAACTCTGAGAGTTCAACTGGATCAAAGCAGTCTAAACCCGGTTCAGATTTGATGGCTACCTCAGATGCTGCCCCACCTTCCAATCGCGGATAGAATTTCTTTAAAATGTATAACTGCACTATCTGATAATGATCTGCTAAAATTGAACCTTCTTTTGGGGGAGGAGAACTCTGTTAAAGTAATCTTGAAGGTTATTAGAAAGTGGTCAGAGAGGACAGGGTTGTGAGGAAATACTGTTTTTTCTTCACATTCTATGCCGTATGTCAGCACAAGATCCAAAGTATGAAGATGAGAATGCGTGGGACTATTCACATTTTGAACAAAGCCAATAGTGTCTAAGATAGCATTAAAGGCTGCTCTTAAGCTATCGCCTTCAATGTCAGCATGGATGTTAAAATCTCCCACTATGATGACCCTGTCAGTATTTAATACCAAATCAGAGAGGAACTCTGAAAACTCATCTAAAAATTCAGAGTAAGGACCTGGTGGACGATACAAAGTTACAAAAAGAAGAGGTTTTCTTGCCTTGAAATTTGGATCAGGGAAATTAAGGGTTAAATGTTCAAAGAGTTGTAGGTATTAACTGTTTTGGGAGTAATCAGTAAGTCAGACTGGAAGATTGTTGCTACTCCTCCTCCTCGCCCAGAACTTCTGGGTATGTGAAAATTTAAATAGCTTGAAGGAGTTGCCTCATTTATGCTCACATAATCCTCTTGCTGCAGCCAGGTTTCTGTAAGGCAAAACAAATCAATGTGATTATCACAAATCAACTCATTAACTAGCAGACTTTTAAAGGAAAGAGATCTTATGTTAAACAGACCACATTTAATCATATAAACTTTTTTCACCAATTGGAGTTATTTTGATTTTAATTAGATTATCATGATTTACTCCTTTGGGAATATTTGCGAATTTATTAGATTTTGGTCGTGGGCAAGACACTGTCTGGACAATATAAATATTGTCAGTGTGGGAATAATTGGGTGTTATATGTACTTCATATATTGTTGGATAAACATCCAAATTCAGGATGTTATGACCAATAAAAAAAATTGTGTCACAAGATTAGAGGGGGTCTTTAAATGTGATAATATATAGATCATTGTGATCAAAAAGGAAAACAAATGCTGTCTGGTCAACATGTGTGAACTTTGCCATCCGACTGAGGACAAAAAGAGCTGATAAGCTGAATAGGAGAGAACATGTTATGATGCCAATGTAACAACATGGTAAATAGCCTGGACTGATGTCTACAAAGCCTTTATTCATTAACTCATTCACACACAGATGGTGGTAAACTACACGGTAGCCATAGCTGCTCTGGGACACACTGAAAGGAGCCATACTGTCAAACACCATTGGATCCTCTGTGGGTCATGTGTTGTGTTCAAGGACACAAAGACTGAGACGGATGGGGCAGGGACTTAAACCAGAAACCCTTTAGTTACAGAATAAACTCCTACGTCACCATAATATTTCTAGCCTTTTTAGGCTGATCAAAGCCTATGACGGTGCTGCAGAAGAGAGTGGGAAAATATTCTCTCTTTTTCAATAAATTCAATTCAATTCAGTTTATTTATATAGCGCCAATTCACAGCACAAGTCATTTAAAGGCACTTTACAGTTCAACCAGATCATGCAAACATAATAGCAATATCTTTGTATAAACACAATAAACAATTATAAATATCTTAATTTTTTAATGGAATACACATACACTGTATTCCAAAACAATTTTAGGACTCAACATATGAAGTGATTTTTAATCTGAAACATCTGAAATTCCACAATCCTACTTTTCTTTTTTGGTTCCTAGTTACCTCTTACCTTCAGGTAAGAGGTAACTGTGTCTTTCTTATATTGTCTTCCAGGTCTCCAGTGATGGCTGGTGGGTTGTTTGCTGTGGACAGAAAATGGTTCTGGGAACTGGGAGGGTACGACACAGGACTGGAAATATGGGGAGGAGAACAGTATGAGATCTCATTCAAGGTAAAAAAAAAAAACAAATAGTTTTCCCCACAAACCTTTCAAAATAGTTTTCCTTCTCAGTTCTGCCTTCACATTTTCTCAGAGGAAGTAGAGATATAAACAGAACATTAACTTTCTTTTCCATAAAAGTTATTGGATCTAATTTCTGGTATGTTTGGGTTCTTTTTCAGTCTGGAAGAACATTCTGAGTCTGAACCTTAACTTAGTGGCTGTAGATTTACAGTATTGCTTCTGTTCGAACAAACTGCTTATATCAATCAGGCCTTTTTTATTTATTGTTGCCTATGGAAGTAAATCTGTGCCGCTGGAATATAAATTAAAAATGTCACTGAAATATAAATGTTGTATGTGTCATGATGGGTATCTGAATTAAGCCCAAAATGCAGAACACACACGGAAACTGGGTAAAAGTTCAACAGAGTTTATTTGCACAAGCACAAGGAATGAAACACTGGAACTGATTCAGGGCTGGTTCACTAAAGTCTTGACTGGGACTGGAGACTGTTGGTTAGCAGAGTTCATGGGAAGCTAAGCAACTAGCTTCAGGCTTAGCATGGCAGACCTTGATCTGAGCTTCCAGCTCACTGCAGAGAACAACAGGGAAAATCCACATAGGATTCTTCAGGGTGATTCCACATAGGAACCTTCAGGTTGGCTCACCAGCGCAGATTAGCTGGTTAAGCTTTCCTTGAGCTTCAGGCTTGAGACTGGTTTCCTGTGATGCAGCTCTCCCAGAGCTTCAGGCCAGAGATAGGGTTCCAGTGAGGCAGCTCTTCCTGAGCTTCAGACCAGAGACAGGTTTCCTGTGAGGCACAGACAAAGGAGAGATTAGAATCTGATCTCACACTAGAGATGACCAAGATTCAATCTGTAACAGAGGCTCAGGAAGCTAACCAACTAAGATCAACACTGCGGCATGGAAGCAAGGTCTGGCAGGAGCTTATAAAGAGGAGGTCTCCTGATGAGAGGATTAACAACAGGTGTGCAGGAAGACTCCAGCCCAAGGAGACCCACGGCGCACTCTGCTGGAGACAGAGGGTAATCTCCAGATCCCAGCAGTAACTCCAGTCCTAATGGAAAGAAACAAAGAACAAAAGAGGATCCTCGGCGCCCTCTGGTGGGCAAGCCTGAGGATCCTAACAGTATGTTTGTCACTATGTTTATACAGTTGAAATTGTATTTGTTATTTTCACTTCAAGCTAAAAATTAACATGACTATTTCACAGTTAATACATTTTCAATGCCTGTTTTTCAGTTTGACCTTTCAAAATTCTGCCTTTCAAAATTCAAACTCAATATTTTCAGCTACTGAGATTCAACTGGCTGAATTTCACTGTTAAATTCAGCGTCTGATCTCTGTTTTCCCGTGATCTCTGAGTGGTTTCTCTGCATGTGGCTCAGATTCGTAAAACCGATCATGACACCACCTGGATTCAACCCTTTTTGGGCTGGTCCCCTTGAATTGGGACATACCCTATTTATTGAATTTCATGCGCAAAGAAAAGCAATTCCACAGAAAAATGAAAGGAATAAACTCACTGATGCGTTAGCTTGCATGACCGCCGCCTCCTTGATGCTGGTTTTCCTTCGGTATGAGAGCCACAAACTTCCCGTCACGTGACTAAGAAACTGTAACGGGATCGGCTGGGTGTTGCTAATGCTAATTGCTAATGTCTGTGACCTGAAGTAACCTTTTTACATTAAATTTAGACGCTGAATTTAACAGTGAAATTCAGCCAGTTGAATCTCAGTAGCTGAAAATATTGATATTTTAACACAGAAAGAGTAAATACAAAATACAACATTTATATTTCAGTGACCAGCGGCGTAGGAAGCGGGGGGGACGGGGGGGACATGTCCCCCCCAATATAAAAGCCAGGTGGATATGTCCCCCCCAAAAATTGTACCGCAAAATATTAGATTTTGACATTTTTTAACTAGCGTGCTTTTATTTTGAAGGCGCAGCATAGCGTTACGTCACTGTACTCCCCCTCCCCTCTCTGAACTGCTGAGTGTTTGAGCACTCAGTCAGCATGGAGGGAAACAGCGACACAGAAATCAGAAACTTGTGAAAGAGGTAAAATAGTCTGTCGGGATGCTGCTATAAATATTGCCCATTTATAACGTTTTGTTTTTAGTTCATTTTCATATATAGAAACTGAATCTTTTTGGTTTAGTCATCTTAGTCTTGTACGGAAGAGGATTAGGGCCACTGGAAAAAAAAGTTAACTGATTTTTACATTTTTTTTTTAGTTTAACATGGGGAAAAAAGTCAGAATTCTGACTTTTCTCAGAATTCTGACTTTTTTCTTCTGACTTTTTTCTCAGAATTCTGACTTTAATCTCAGAATTCTGACTTTTTTCTTCTGACTTTTTTCTCAGAATTCTGACTTTAATCTCAGAATTCTGACTTTTTTCTCAGAAATCTGACAGATGATTAATATTTCTAATCAATTTACAGTGTTTTTTTTTTTTTTTTCGGGGGGTACTTATACAGATACATAAAAACAAGTAGGTCTAACTAAAAAATAACCAGAATATATGTTTAGAGTAAAGATTGACTAGTGTTTACACAAGCACACAATTTCAAATCTGCTGAGCTTGCTGTGCAAGAAAATGTAAAATATACGTATAAAGAAATATAACAGGAAGTACTGCTAAAACATAAACTAAATGTTAAATAATGTAGATATTGGTTTAAAAAATTCTTCAGATTTGGAAATTTGGAAGAATACATAATTTTGAAATTAATCAACAAATCTGGTAAAAAAAACAACAAAAAGAAATAAAAAATAAAAGTTGCACTTTTTTACTTGAGGAATTTGTTGAATAACTTCATAATTATGAGTTTAACTAGTTGGAGGTAATGCTACACTTCTCTGCTTCCTGTCCTGCTCATAAAAGGTAAACATTATAAACCCACCATCCATTTTCTACATTATTTGGAAAACACAACACAAATGTAATATAACAAAAGTATGTTTAAAAACAAACATGTTAGCATCAAGCCATAGCCATGTCTGTTTTAGAGACTAGCTCTCTTCTGCTCCTCCATTAATGAGGGGACCCCACGGACATGTAAAAAGTTGCCTAATTCCGTCATTTTCCACCAATGTGTCACTGGCCCCCTCAAACAACTCACATCTTTGTCAGTGAAGCTGAGTGCTCCACATCTCTTCCTTCATGGTGCCCATCTACATTAAGATCCAAAATTCTGAGATTAAAGTCAGAATTCTGAGAAAAAAAGTCAGAATTCTGACCTTTTTCCCGTATTAAACTGAAATGAAATTTAAAAATCACTTAACTTTTTTTTTTTTTTTATCAGTGGCCCTAATCCTCTTCCGTGGTCTTGGGATGATCACTCATCCAATATTTAACTGCTAACTTTCTGTAGACGTTTGCCACTCTAGCCAAAATGTTTTTTTTTTTATATATCTCGTTTCAGTACAATGCCACCACCAACTAAAAGGCTGAAACAGCAGTAGGACTTACTCAGATTTTTTTAAAAAGAGAAACGTCAGTGTGAGTTACAGTCACCTTACACAACTTGTGTTGAAATTAGCCCGATCTGGGCGTGCGTTTAACGAGGATTTTTTTATTTTTTGCGTGGTTTTGATTCGCCGAAATTGACAGATGTTATACCTGCCGCGCTCCTGATCGTTAGTTAAAACCACAGGGAGAATTAATTTTAATTCTTAGCAGCGGCGGTCGCATTGGTTGTGCAGCAGTCCACTGCACAACCACAAATTAACCAACTAATTAACTTCTGCACCTTTATTTCCTCAAATAAACTGCTGGCTCCTCTTTTTAGACGATAAACAGATTAACACAACATTGACAACTCTGTAGTTTTCTCTGTTCTGTAGTGCAAACTGGAATTAAAGGCGCCATTTCTACCAAAGGTCTGGACAGACTGGCCACCTGTCTAGGGTGTACCCCGCACCAGCACCTCCCGACCCCACTAAGGGACAGGGTGTACAGAAAATGGAAGGATGGATGGATTTCTACCAAAGGTTGATAATGCGTTTTTGAACCAGATGCTTCAAAGCGCCCTGTCCATAATTCTTCAACACACTGTCAGCTCCCTCTGTCAGTCAACCTATATAAATTAATTTTTGACCATTATTGCAAGTTTGAAAAAATAAAACATATCAAACTTTGCACTTCTGTGGCCTACTGAATTGTTTTTAATCAAACTGAAATATTTGATTTTCTAGTGTGATGCAGACACTAAATATGCTAAGGGTTGAAGCCCTTGAAAGACACCTCCCTTTGCTTAATAAAAGACTCCAATCATTTTGTTTGGTGATATGCTCACATCTTATGAACAAATGCATTATGTAAATTTTAAATGCATTATTTTTGCAAGACACATTTATAAAGGAATAAAGTAAAAGATTAAATAGCCTTTTTTTTAAGTAGCGTACTTAAGATATGTTTCTGTTGAATACGAATCTCAGATTTCCGACATGTGTCCCCCCCAATAGTAAACATATTCCTACGCCCTTGTCAGTGACATTTTTAATTTAAATCCCAGTGGCACAGATTTACTTCCATAGTTGCCTTAGATGAACTTATTTGCAGTCTATTAACCTACATCTTTGTCTCTACTTCCTGACATAGTTTAAATGCATGTAAACCTCATAGTCTGAATTAGTACTTTCAGTGAACTTTCATTTTTTTTCTGTTATGCATCCTTTGAAGCATGCACAAAAATAATCTTAGATTTTCGGGTCCAGAGAGCCACGCCCCCTTTTACTCGACCATACAAATAGTTTGGACCTTCCTAATCTAAACCTCTAATACTCTAATAATCTAATAATCCTTAAAGGAGGAAATTAGATTAGATTAATAAACTGAAAGGTTTGGAAATCATTAAATGGACTCAGGTTATAGTGATTGTTGGCTGTTATTTCACCAAGAAATGTGAAATATAGTTTAATAGTCACAAATACAAATTTGTGTTTTGAGTAAATAATTTAAATTTAACAATTAATTAACTTAGTTGAACCTAGTCTTCCTTCTAAGTAACCTGAGTGTAAAACATAAACCTTTTCTCCGCTGTGACAGTGATAAAGCTCAGTGTTGGACGATGTTTTTAACTCTGGTCTGAAGCTTTTCATCTTAGTGAAGTAATTAGTGAGATAATATCCTTCACCAAGGTTATTATTTCAGCCAGGATTACCGTGGTTAGAGATGATGCTATCACCACACGCCTTGCTCTGCCTCCTAGGTCTGCTCTATGGGCTCAGAAATTCAATTTGGTTTCCTCTTTATTAAGATCCCCATTAGCTGATAGAGCGCAGACAGCCAGTCTCCTGAGGTGAGGAGATTAACAAGCTCTCATGCTAATCCCTACAAGCAAACTGCTGCTCCCAAAGACAAACCAGACCCTGGAACACAATCATTTTGTTCACTGCTAGAGCTAATCTGCAGCTTCGCACTGGTGACACTGGTGTGGGAACAACAAATCTTTCCAGCACACACAGGCAGCTGATGTTTGATCACCCAAAGGCACGGCCTCACACGCATAGTGAGGCTAAAACATTTGAGAAATAAACAGATTTACACAGACTACCACTACTCTTCTACAGTTTGCCTCCCTGCAGACTGGCTACCATGTTTAATGATAATATATGCCATAACATCATTGGGGAATTTGTTGTTTTTTATGTTTTTTTCATGAGAACAAACTTTGCATGCCAATGTGACATGATGTTGGTTTCCACAGAAAAATAGCCAAAGATGTTGAAAAGATTTTAAACTCCTGACTGCGTTCTTTAGAAGCACGCCGCTGTCTCTCTCTAATCCTTCACTCTCTCTTTCAGACAAAAGATTCAGATTCACTGATAGATTCAAGTTTTCTCTGCCATCCTTTTTTGCTTTTTAAGGTTTATGTTGATCCTTTAAAAGCTGACTAGAGAGGGAGGGTTCTTCACTATAAAGAAGAATTACAGTTGGAAATTCTAATTTTATATCATATAATGAGAAGCAACATTGAATCAAAACAATTAATAAAATGACAACTTGTTAATTTTTAATGAGAACGTCTACTCCTTTGTAAATGATTAGTTTAGCTTTTCTTTAAGGTATCATTCCACCTTAATTCAAACACTGGGAACATTAGATCCTATTTTGTTGCCTTGCAGTTACGTTTTGTCAGCAGAGAAAATCACGGCTTTTAGATGTAGCTTCTGCATCTTTCCAGCTTTCTGAAGCTGCAGGCCAAACAGTGACATGTGATCTTCTGCAGGTGTGGATGTGTGGTGGTCGGATGGAGGACATTCCTTGCTCCAGGGTGGGGCATATCTACAGAAAATATGTTCCCTACAAGATTCCTGGAGGGATCAGCCTGGCAAAGGTGATGCTGCAATCTACCTGGTTTTATGATTAAATGTTTTTTCTGTTTTCTGAGAATGAAAATGAACATTAAGGAAGTTTAACTGTTGTACTGTGAAGCTTTAACTACATGTTTTAAATATTATGTTTTAAAAAGATCAGCTGACAGCTAATTGTCAGTTTTCTATCAGAGGCTTATGATATAAGCTCCATTCTCATCCACAGCGGTCATCACACCAACGCTCATTATACCCAGATTAGCCCTGATGGTTTATTCTGGATTGTTTGATGGTGAAAAACTCAGTCTTAGTCTAATCTATAAATAACAGTTTATCGATCTTCAGAGATCCGGGGGATAGAGCTGACGTCTCTGTTAGACACTGGCTGTTGAACAATGAAGTGTTTTTAAGACAATAGTGCTGATATATATTCAGGTAAACCTGCGAGTTATTAGTAACATCAGGAGACATGGAGAAAATCACTCAGGTCTTTCATGTTTGCTTCATTTGCATAAATAATAACTATTCAGATAAAACATAATATTCACTAGTTTATCTTTAATAGCCACACCTCAGACTTTTTCCACTCAATTGATAACAGATGAAGTATTCAGCATATTTTATTAATTAACATTAATTAATTTCCTTGACTTCAGCATAATAATAATAATTCTGAAACACATTTCTTTAGTTTTTGTTCCATCAGAAACACAATTTGATGTAAAACTTTTATTTCTGTTTTTCTCTCCTATGAATGTCATTCTCAGATGTAAATCCAAAGGAATCGTGCTAAAGGTGCAACGGTCCTACTGTTGAACACATATGAGTAAATATTGGAGTCACTGAAAAAAAAATGGAGGGGAGATTTAAGTTAACAAAATTTCAGAGGAATTGTGGTAAAACATTATTTAATCTATTTTATTATTGTCTGTGATGTTCAGTAGTCCAGTTTATAACAGCCTCTACTGGACAAAACAAATGATCTGTAATATGAATAAACAGAACAACCAATTAACTAGATCCTTCCAGCTTTTGTACATAAATAATTATTTTATACAAGAAACTGATTTTTGATCATTTATCACAAATATGTAATAGAAACAATGTGAACATCTATTATGCAAAAAGATTCTTTATTTTTGATGAAGGCTTTTTGATGAGAGGTAAAAATACCTTAAAGAAAGGAGAATAAATCCAAAGTCCTTCTATTGGCCACTTCCAGTTACAATAACAATATCATGTAATTGTGTGTGATAGAAGTAAAAGGTCAGCCTGTTGGAAAACTGTTTATACTTTTATTATGGGAAAATATGTAAACCTTTTAATAAACAGCCCTCAGTTAAAATATAGATGCAGAATAGCTCATGGCTTTGAGCTGATCTGAGATGTAGCACCATTGATGAAGCGTTAAGCTTCCCACGGCCATCAGGATGCAGCTCAGGGTTTAACGCTTCTGCTCCGGTCTAACCTCCAGACTTTAACATGTTTTAACTGAACAATGAAGGCTTTGAATTTATTCTGCTGGATCAGAGTTTCACAGAGAAATAACTGTTTGTTCTGCAGAAAACCTCATTTCACAGAGCAGTAAAAAATTTTTATATAAAAGGCAGACTTGGAGATAAATTTTGTAGATTCCACTGATTTCATGAGACTCAGAAGAGTAAAACCTGCCAACTGAATGTTAGTTAATTAATTAACTTTTTTCTTTTTGTAATCTGAAGTCAGATTTTTTTTGTAGTGTTACTGAATATAAATTTTTTGACATAGCTAAAACTTCAGGAGGCTCTTTAATTGTTTACAGAATCTGAAAAGGGTGGCAGAGGTGTGGATGGATGAGTATGCTGAATACGTCTACCAGCATCGGCCTGAGTACCGACACCTTTCAGCAGGAGACATGACGGCGCAGAAGGAGCTGCGAAGTCAACTGGGCTGCAAAAACTTCAGATGGTTCATGAGCGAGGTGGCCTGGGATCTGCCCAGACATTACCCACCAGTGGAGCCCCCTGCTGCTGCCTGGGGGGAGGTAAGAGCTGCACTGGTTCAACTGGGAGAAACTGGTTTTTAAGCTACATCAGAGCAAAACGTCCATAGCCAGTTAGTGCAATGAATTAAAAAGTAATTAAGTTAATGACACAAATCTTAAATGATGGAATATATATAATTTCTGAAATGCTAAAAAAAAACATAAATATATATAAGAATAAAAAAACTGGAGGGAGAGATCTGCTGTATATATAGATATATAGCTTCCAGAGTAGCACCTTCTGTTTCCCCGGCTACACTACTTCAACCCTCAGCAGTTAGCCTATAGCAGACATCCCCAGTTCTAAAAACTGATTTATCCTCCAGATTATCATCCAGCTCTGTCTTCTGGTGATCTTTCACTAGTTTCCACAGCTTCTATGTGAGCTCAGAATGCTGCATCCCCTTCCCTCTGTGGTCTGGATGATCTGTTCACCTATTTTGGACATTTGGACCAAAACACTTATGTACCAAGCGCAGGAGAAAGAAGCTTCACCGTTAGAAGTAAAACTTCAACTCAATGACTGAACAAATCGCTGTGCTTCATAATGAAAGGACATTTGCCGGTTGTGGATGATCACATGAGAATCTCTGATTACAGAGCACTGCTGATTGACCGCTGCAAGTCTAGCTAATAAAATAACAAAACAAGCTTTAAAAAAAGTGAAAATGCAAACAGGACTAAAGGTTTAACAAAGTTACTCAACCATCACAGAGCCTAAAGCCAATACACCTCATTTCACTCCTCTGATTCTCAGCTGTCTGTGAGTGGCACATTAGGTGGGTATTAAAGAGGATTTTTCTCAGAAATTAAGTGTCCAAATTCATCTAAAGTGACTAAATTCATGGATGGCATTCTTGCACCATGCCCCCTCCCCCCAAAAATTATTAAAATCCATGAACTCTGGCTGTATGCTTTGGCTACTGCCGAAAGGGGATTGGCTACTTGTATGTCAATCAAACATTTTGTGTACGTGCCGCCATCGCATTTTTACGTAGGCTCCAAGAGTAACTCACTACTTTTTTCAGTTATTTGTTGACTCTTTTGTTTAACTTGAGCATCAACGGCAGAAAGGAACCCTGGCAAACCAGACATATTTGTGGAAGCTAGTCTAATTTTCTGATTGTAAAGAACAAATTTTACGGATCAATTTTAAGAATATGCTGGATTACTTTTTATCCGTAGACCCTTACGAGCAAATGGATTATAAACACTCTAAGATTGGTGATATGACCTCAAATCAATGTCATAATAAATTTTGCCTTTTTACCTTGAGAAAAAATAAATGCATAATAAATGCTCCGGCTTTTAGCAATAAAGGCATGTGCAGGAAATGCAACTGATCTATTTATAATTTATGTATTCAATAAATCACATTACATATTAATTTCAATTAAATATTAAAGTCTTGCACCCATTCAGGTTTAAACATTCAATAATGGCTCATTGAACAGGAGAAAAACCTTTTTTTCCCAAAGCTAATGGAGCTTTTTGCACATTTTTGACCTCCACAGCGTGGCTGTGCTGCAGGTGGAGGAGGTTGGATGTGTTACTCTGGGTCTTTGGGTGCCTCCTGGCACTTTGAGGCCTCTCTGGGTTAAATACTAAACTACAGGCGAAGCCGTTTCCAGCATACAGAGCTTTTGCGAAGGAGGGGGCCTATGATGCCGCATGCGCACAATTCAAAAATACACAAACATTCGTTAGAAATATCTTCCAGCACAGAATCATCATGGCTTTAATGTTCTTCCATACAAATCATCAACATCTGCCTCCTTTACAGAGGAAGATGTTCAATGGCAGCAGAGTAGATATAAAGTTGGCAAAGCCATGGTACAGGATTGCATCGCTGCTAATGGGTTTAAACGCGTTGCCACAGCACGCCCTGCCAGATAGTTTTCCATAAAAATTGCAATTTGCTTCATTTTGGCCTAAACCCTGGAGAACATCAACAATCTTCCGTCTGCCAAATAAACCACGCCCCTCAGAACTGAACCACCTGTTGCACTAACACCAATAGTGAGCAAAAGTTATGAAAAGCAGATTTTGTGTAATTTTTCCCAGAGTGTCAGAAAGAAGAAAGATATTTTCATACCTGCTCCAGATTAATGATGTACTGGTACCTGGATGGTGTCTTGGTTGAATTCATGGTGACATATCAGAGATGACATTTGTTTAAATAATCTGTAACTGACTTCTAACCCCCAAGCGTTGGTTCCCACCATCGGCATTGAGGGGGACACACGGTATTCAAAGAAACATCTGCCTCCTCATGTGAAATGCGTTAAAAAATCAAAGCTGAACAAGGAGAACTTATACTGTATGATAAAATCACTCAGTGCAAAGAATTGTTGAATTTGTGTATCTATATGTCTTTAGATAAGAAATGTTGGAAGCGGGATGTGCATGGAGATTAAACACTTTGTCTCTGGAAGCCCGATCCGCCTGGAGAACTGTGTGAAAAGTCGAGGAGAAGTCAGCTGGAGCCATGGACAGGTACCTGTCAGTTTTTGTAATCAATTGCATGCGTATGTTTTTACCTCATTCACCTGTGATTGGGCAATAATCTAGCCCCTCCCACTTCTCACTTCCTCTTGGACTCCAAACTGGGCTTGCAGACTTTGAACCTGCTGATTATAACCCTATTTTAGATTTATCTTTAAGTCCTCATGTTTGGGCTAACAGAATCCACTTTTAATCGTCTCCTTCCCAGAGCCACACCCTTTTTTTCAACAAATGTGTCGTAGTTTAACAGACCTCTCTGCAGCTTCTCTACTGTTACCCACTTTACTCCATCCAGACAGTGTCTTGCCCACAACCTAAATCTAATTAATTAGCAAAGATTCCCAAAGGAGTAAACCATGATAATATAATTAAAATTAAAATAGCTGCAATTGGGGAAAAAGTTTAAACAATTAAATGCGGTCTGTTTAACATAAGATCTCTTTCCTCTAAAAGTCTACTAGTTAATGACTTGATTTGTGATAATCACGTTGACTTGTTTTGCCTTACAGAAACCTGGCTGCAGCAAGAGGATTATTTGAACATAAATGAGGCAACTCCTTCAAGCTATTTAAATTTTCACATCCCCAGAAGTTCTGGGCGAGGAGGAGGAGTAGCAACAATCTTCGAGTCTGACTTACTGATTACTCCCAAAACAATTAATACCTACAACTCTTTGAACATTTAACCATTAATTTCCCTGATCCAAATTTCAAAGCAGGAAAACCTCTTCTTTTTGTAACTTTGTATCGTCCACCAGGTCCTTACTCTGAATGTTTAGATGAGTTTTCAGAGTTCCTTTCTGAATTGGTATTAAATACTGACAGGGTCATCATAGTGGGAGATTTTAACATCCATGCTGACATTGAAGGCGATAGCTTAAGAGCAGCCTTTAATGCTATCTTAGACACTATTGGCTTTGTTCAAAATGTGAATAGTCCCACACATTCTCATCTTCATACTTTGGATCTTGTGCTGACATACGGCATAGAATGTGAAGAAATAACAGTATTTCCTCACAACCCTGTCCTCTCTGACCACTTTCTAATAACCTTCAGGATTACTTTAAAAAGAAGGTTCCCCAAAAGACGGTTCTGTTTCTCTCTCCTCTGTGTCGCTGAGCAGTGCTGCAGAGTGCAAAAGCATAGCTTATTCCCCTTCACAGGTTGATGATTTTGTTGATGGGGTTGCTAGTTCTCTGCGTATTGCCTTAGACAATGCAGCTCCTTTGAAAATGAAAACCGTTAAAAATAGAAAGCTTGCTCCTTGGTTTAATGCAGAGCTGCGTACTTTGAAGCAAAATGCTAGGAAACTGAAGAGAAAATATCGCTCCACAGGCCTGCGGGAGTCCTTCCTAGTCTGGAAAAATAGTTTACTGCTGTATAAGAGGACCCTTTGTAAAGCAAGACCAGCATACTTCACCTCATTAATAGAGGAGAATAAGAATAATCCTAGATTTATTTTTAATACAGTTGCCAAAGTCACCCAGAGCCATAGCTCTGTTGAACCGTCCATTCCACCTGCTCTTAGCAGCAATGATTTTATGGGATTCTTTATAAGTAAGATCGATCTTATTAAAAATAAGATAATTAGCACTCCTCTATCCGCGATTGGTTTGTCTGATTCCCTGCAGGATGGTGTTTGTAGACCAGACGTAGCTTCTTCCCATAACAAACCAGATTCTTTCTCAAGGTTTATTCATAACATGTTACTGTTTAACCAAAGTGTCTGTAATTTGTTTTGACTCTGAATACTTTTCCATTGTTGTAACTAAGGAGGAACGAACGCTGCTCATGCAGAACAGGGCAGAATGCTGCCATAAAGGCTGTATGATGACTGTTCTCTCTTTGCAAAGATATTAATAAATGTGCCGACTGAGTGAAATCCATCGATCTCTGTTTATTTAACTAGGATGAATAGTTGAGTACTTTTTTCCCACTACAACCTGCATTAAACAGGTACAGTTAATAAGAAGAGACTAGGTTCCTTTGTAAATGAAGTAAAACAAATTCACTTATGATCCCAAACAGAAAAACAAAAAAATCCAATTTGATCTGATCATATGTGGTTATGTCCCTTACAGCTCATTGAATAATTATTCAGTTCCATTCAGTTTATTTCTATAGAGCCAATTCACAGCACATCTCATCTAAAAGCACTTTACAGAGACAAAAAGAATGGGGAGGGTCAGACCCCTGGTTCATTTTGGTGGGACCTGCATAGCGATTTAGACGTTGTGGCAAAGTAAAACACATTGACTTTGGGGAAAGTATAAAGTAAAATCTTTGAGTAAACCAGCCAGGTTTGGAAACACAGTGGATATAGCAAAATGGGAAACAATCAGTAAAACACTTTAATTAACAGTGTTTTAGACCCATGGTAAGCGCTCACGATTACAGAAAGATAAAGTGAAATAACCATCGACATCGAGCTTCAAAATAAAATACGGAAAAACAAGGATGCTAAGGCTATATGATGGACAATATGAAAAATGCAGTGCTTAGCTCCCCTCTTTATGAAATAAAAAAAACACTTTGGCAAACTTTACAAAAAGCCGTGTGAAAATCCATTTTACTGACCTAACCCAGTTCAAAATACGAAAGTCTTTGTTTTAGATGCCTTTTATTTTCTTCAACTGTAGTTTCCATCACATATTTGTACATTTTGAAACATTTTACTTACTAGGTGCTTAGTTATTTTGACTGACGGCCCCCGTAAAGGATTGGAACATTTGCTCACCTTATGCATAGTAGGGAGCCTCTCTACATGAAATACATCTCATTTTATCCTGGACATCTATGGACCATTTAGGTCATTTTGACAGAATTTCAAGGAGAAAAGCGTAATTGTTTCAGATTAAGTTATTCTTTTGTTTTCTGCAGGTGTTGACGTTTGGTTGGAGAGAAGACATCCGTGTGGGTGAGCCCAATCATACCAGGAAGGTCTGCTTTGACGCCGTGTCCCACAGCAGCCCAGTTACTCTATACGACTGTCATGGGATGAAAGGGAATCAGCTTTGGCGTTATAGAAAGGTACAGAGTCCTAAGTCCTTAGAAAAGGACTTTGTTTTGGTAGTGAGTGCTACAGATAACCATGGAAATGTAAAATAAGAAAATGAAAGCTGGATAGAAATGTTATGAGAACAGAAAAAATAACGGAAGTTTTTACAAAGGGTGATTATTATGGCAAAAAAAAAATAAAAAGAACAAAAAGGATTGTCTTAAAATCCAACTTTACTGCTTTGACCTTGGCTGAGTCAACCTTTGTTTGAAGAGTTAAAGTGATTAATTAAAAACTGGGGAAGAATTAGGAGCAGAAACAGTAAAGATCCTCTAATAGCGTGGCTGTTTTATGTCCTCCAGGACAAGAGTCTGTACCATCCAGTCAGTAACAGCTGCATCGACAGCAGAACCAGTGAACGTCGAGTCTTCATGAACATGTGTGACCCAACGGCTTTGAGTCAGCAGTGGCTGTTTGAGCGAACCAATGCTACTGTGCTGGAGCACTTCAACCGGGGCACCGACTGAGGGTCATGGAGCAGTGAGATGTGGCATCTTCTAAGGAAAGGATCACCAACAATGATCCCTAGTGAGTGACAAAAGAATTTTAAAAAATTTACTCAGAAATCCTATTTGGACATCTCAGGGTTTGTGGGAAAGTTTATCAATTTATATTGATGTCTTTGTAAACTTTGAGCATTTTTAACTCAAGTCAAATTCATTGCTTGGATGCATGAACTACTTTAAAGCATTTGTTTGGCATTACGTTTATTTTAAATCCTGCTTTAGTCTTTAACTTGTCTGGGAGTAAAGCAAACTAAAAGGTGTTTTCAGCACTTTCCCCTTTTCTAATTCAGCAAGAATATGCATGGGGGGGGGGCAGAAAAAGAAAATTAGAAGTTAAAATGTTAACTAAGTCTGAACACGGGATACACACCTAAAGGACAAAAGAGTCACAGTTTAATAAATAAAAAAGGCCAATAACCTTTAAATAAAATTGGAAATGATTCCAGTAGATGAACTGGATCTAAGATTTTCTAAATATTTACAACACAAGCAAAATTTGGAAACGCTAACATGTCTAGTAAGTCAGTTCTATTGTTCAGTTTTATGCATTGTCACTGTAAATTAGAAGTCTCGGAGAAAATCAAATAAGTTTTTTACATCAAGATTTTTTCATCAAATTTTTCACAATTACAAAAATAAGTTACACCTTTTAAAATTGTTCAGTAAAAGTCCAGGAGATCATAAAAATGCTGACATTCTCGGTTTTGCTCCAAATGATCCAAAACTGTTGTTTCAAAACAATTTTTTTTTTCAATTCCAACTTTGAAGTTTTGATGTTGTAGATTTTTTTCAGGTGTGTCTCAGAGCACCTGGAAGAGGCGTACGTGCTTTAGTAGAAAACAGAAAGAAAATAGACAGAAATATAAATCGAATGTTACGATGCAAAAATGTTTCTGCAACGTTTTTGGATAAATTGGACCAAAACTGAGAATATAAGCATTTTTTGATTTGTGAGGAATTGTGTACTTTTACCAGATTGGATTCAAAATTACTATCAGAAAAAAATAAAAGTAAATTGTTACTATATAAGTAAGCTGCTGGCCAGCTGTCTAGTCTAGCAGTTTTAGTTCTGCATAAAGACTGCATCCAACATTAGATTTGACTTCAATAATATAATGAATTTAGTTGATAATATGAATATTATTGTGATATTTTTCAATCAGTCCATATTATTGTCCAATAGGAACCAACAGAAGAGGATCTTTAATTGTTTCTCAGTTTACAGGCGTTTTTCTACCCTTTAGGATTTTAGGTTTTATGGTCAGACTTATTGTAAGATTATTATAAACACAGATCATAGTAAAAATTATTATTATCTCTAAGTAAAATAGTTATAAAAAGTTTGTTAATAAAAAGGAAAACCTGAGCTTTCCTTCTTCCCTGTTTCTAGGATAATGAAGTTGGGAGTCAGAAATGTGCTACTTCCCGATTATTTCCCGTGGTGCAGCAGAGATGCAGCGCCCCGGCTGACAGCGGCAGCCTTGTTCAGACCAAACACCTCCACACCCAGAATCCAATCATTCAGCTCAGGGTTGTGATGTGGAAGGAGGTAAAAGAGAGACACGCTTCCATGAACACAGCTTCTCTTCACTCAGTCAATCTTCTGAAATTCACTTGCCAAGAAATCCAGATAAAAACGGATTTAATAGAAAATGTCTGAAATGTATTCTGTTCTTCTCCAGGGTGGGAGGACCACAGTGAGATCTGTCTGACCTGCGGGAAACCTCAACAGCTGTCAGAGACTTTCAGAGACAGCAAACATTTGCTGAGAGGCGTTCCTTTCATTGCCAGAGGAGAACTGAAGCGCCTGGTGAACCGGAGGACTGATTTCTGCTTTTGCTTTCTTGTATTTTTCTATTGTTGGCATGTTTGTCATTCATCATGCTAGAACAGCTTTTAAAAGCAGAAACTAAAAGATCGATTCATTGCTGCCATTTTTTAAAGAAAAAACATCCTGTTTATATCATCTTTACAGAAGAAATTTATTTTGTTTTCTATGATGTAATAAAGAAACCAAAGTACTGAAGTTGAACTGACCGTGTTTGTTTGTGTCCAACAGTTTGCTTTTAGACAGCTTGGCAGAAAGGAGCAAATATCAGGTATAACATTGCAGAAATGGTTTAAAGTCGAATTAGCTTTTAGTTCCATTAGGTTATAATGTTCTGCAAAGATGTTTTTCAGGCAGCTAATTCCGACAGCTTCAGCTAATTAAACTGCAATGGGTCTATTTGACTGAACTTGGAGTTTTGTCTCTAAATATGATTTTTGTTTGTCTAGTAACTCACATTGGATTCATGTTTATTATCAATTAGTGCTACACAAAATATATATTTGATAAATCAAACAGCTAAATGTGTGGAAGGTTGTGATCAGGACCAGGCTGGACTATAATCCCAACATGTAACACGCAGCGTAAATGAAAGTTTGATGTTTTAAAGACACATATTTCAGCCAGTTGGGTTATTTTAGATAGATTAGGAGCCCATTGAATAAAAACTTAAATAAAGGCATTTGGACAGGGCAATTTTCACAGAAAAAAAAAATATCAAGAAGAACATCTTGCTTAAGGTTTCATTTAAAAATTATTAGTATTTGAAGAAAAGTGCTTATATTTAAAATCCCGCAAACACACAATCTACTGGACTTCACAGGAGTCATAAAGGTGAACCGATGGAGGCCCATGGATTTTAGAAACTGCTTAACATTTAAGCAACCGTGTTTGGAGATAAACATGTGGGCTGAAGGCAGGAGCTCTGCCAACTTTCCTTCTCTAAGGCATTAAGTCACTGCTGACCTTAAAAACTAAATTCAGTTTATGCCATGAAATATAAGCACATTCATCCAAATATATACTATACTGAAGGCAAAACATGTAATGATAAAATGCCGTAAAAGCAACATCTAAAATTTAATTATCGTGTCAAATCTTATGTTAAACTGACCAACAAAGAGAAACTATAGGAGCCGTAGCCTCAACATGAGGTCTCATGTAAAATAGTGGCTCTTCATAGATTCCTCTTTTTTTAAATCAGATTTGCTTGTTTCAAAATATTTAACAAACTAATTCTCAGACAAAGTTACCTTAAATATACAAACAAAACAATCCAATCCAGTCCGACCCAACAAAAAAAAAAAAAAATTGCCTCATAGCAGCAACTGAACAAAAAATCAGTCCTGCCTGATTTAGCTTGCAGTAGCATCGACACGCTGGTCCATAAGCAAAGCTCCACTGCTTGGAAAACCTCAAACTAACTCAAATCAGTTTTATTCATGATAAAGGATGATCGCAACCTCTGGGAAGAAATTGCTTCTCAATCGTATCAGATTGAAAGGAAAAGCTCTTTCATCCGTTTTCTGTCACACTTGATCCCTGCTGGGGTGGTGAGGGGTGCTGGTGTCTATGGGTGATGATTCTAGACTGTGGGAGGAAGCCAGAGTACCCGGAGAGAACCCACGCATGCTCAGGGAGAACATGCTAACTCCATGCAGAATACAGCAGGCAGGGAACCGGGAACTTTCTACCCACTGCGCCACTGAGCAGCTCCAACTGCATTCATACAAGCAAACTAAATATAATGTAAAGAACCATTTCTCACAAAACGTGGATAATTCCTCGAAATTCACTATTTTAGACACAATCATATTTTCTGTTTGCTACTTATTTCATTAATTGAAGCCTTTTAATTGTAAAAAAAAAAGAAAGAGAAAAAAAGTTTCACTGAGCTTCATAGAATAATAACGACTTACAATGTCATTATCGACTTTATTTAAAAACAAGGTCAATCAAATAGCTTCCCCAAAACAAAAAGCTAAATCCTAAAACAAATCAAATAACTAAATAAAGTTGGAATTGAATAGAATGAAACAGCTTTAAATAAGGAGACCAAATCATTGAAATGGATTCAGCATTAAGGCTGTTAACTTCAGGGTTTTAGACAATTAACAACTATGGGCTAAGAAACTATATAAAAAAGGTTTTTTTTTATTAATTTCATGCTTTCAGAAAAGCTGAATAGTGTCTCATGATGCAGAGAATAATCTTTCTATTACCTCCTTCCTCTGTTGGAGCTTTATGTTTTATATTTAAAAGTTTATTTTTAATTCTGCTAAACAGAAACTTTAAAGGTTTGGCCTGAAATACATTTAGAAGAGCAATTCCATTATTTAGGGAGGAGCTCCTGACAGAACCACAGCAATCCCAGTAATCAGGCGTCATTCAGATATTGCTGTTTGAGCTCTCAGCTCACTGCGATTCTCACTAAAAACAGATAAAACAGGTCAAATAAACTCATCCTCACAGCCAGCTAACATTTTCCCAAAAACAGGAAATCAGATACAAAGTTGTTTCCCCCCCGATGACTCACTCTGCCTTTTATATCGGCAGAGTGAGTTTTAAATTCAATACCTGAGAAGTTATTGGCTGTATAACAACAACAAACACAAACAGAGGTTCCTCTGCAAAACATGCTTCCTGCCCCAGATTTGAGGCTTTTATGCAATAAAAATAATGGATTTGACCAAAGTGCCCTCAGAGTCAGAAATCTTATATATAGGAGTCTTATCTTCTGAGATCAACAGTGTTGGATAGAAAACATCATCCAAGCTCTTGGTTCTCCAGTAAACTGCCCTAAAATAAAATGATTACCCAGGAGGTTTGATGTTTGTTTTTTTATGCATGAAAATCCCAGAGAGAAGAAATACTCCTTTAAAAGAAAGGAAACCATGTTTGTTTAAGGAAAAGCATCACTGGCATTTTAGCAAACTAATTATTACTCAAATGACCTGAGACACAAAAGAATAACCCAACACCTAAAGCGAAAGACGAGTTGATCATTAATTAGCATCTGACTTGGAATAAACTGACCGTAATGAAAATGAAAAAAGATTTTCTGCTTCGACCAATGAACAACTTTAGAAATTGAATTATCCTAAACTTTAATATGGAACATTAATAAAACCTTTATGAAGTGTTGGATTTATACTGATTAAAATATACATTTTTTCTTATATACAAATAAATAAATTATATTGTTGCGCCTGACATGTTTAATCTCTCTTCACTTGACAGTGAAGACATAGATATTTAACAAATGTTTTAAATATATCTTTAGTCCCAGTTGTGTGATGTGTTACAGTCTCAGCCTTATATAGAGATAACAGCCTGATCCTGAAGGTGGAGAAGACCAAGGAGATGATGGTGGACATCAGGAAGAACCGTCCTAACCACGCTCCACTGCTCAGCTGTAGAGGTGGTCATTCATCACAGACACCCTCACCTGGACTGGAAACACCACCTCACTGGTCCAAAGGGCCCAGAAGCGCTTGGACTTCCTGCCCCCCCATCCTCCCCACCTTCTCCAGAAGCACCATAGAGAGCGTTCTGAGCAGCTGTCTCACTGTGTGGTGTGGAGGCTGCAGCGCCTCAGACTGGAAGAAGGTGAGAACAGCAGAGAGGACGGAGAAAACTCTAAATCATGTCACAGACTCTGCATCAGACATGCATCATTATTTTGCACCACTAACGTGCTGAACTTTTATAATCCTTTTAAATAGGATGCAGTTCAAATGTTCGACGGCATTTTGAACAATATTTATTTATTTATTTTGCCCTGAAATTTTCCATATCAGTGCCTTTTGCACCACGACTTCTCTGCGTCTGGCTGCAAACCTTCTCGCCATTTCATTTTTTTATTTCATTCCATAGCTTTTTCACTCTCCCTGCTGATTGCATCTTATGTATAATTTATGGTTTATGAAAATGTTCAAGTTCTGCATTTTGCTCTAGCCTGCATAGTTAACTGTGTCATCACAAACGATATGTGGACTTCTGAATTTAAATAATGATTCAAAAATATTCTGTCATGTCCTGGCTTTAAGCAAAAGGGAGAAATTTGATCGTCCTAAAAATGCAAGAAATTAATCTGATCTAAATTTTTGGTTTTCAGTTTAAATAACATCATTTGAAGGTCAAAATAATCACTATGAAAGAAAAATAATGTGCAATTTAATTTAGTTATTCACTAAATTCAACTCTAAATTTTAGTCAATTAAAAAATTAAATGTACTAACATCTTTTATATGATGTATTAATATTAATGCAAAGTTGAAAGTTGGATACAAAACATTAGCCTTTACCTTAGCTTCACCTTTTACATTTTATATGCTCAAGAAAAAACATCAAAGTGAAAAGAATTGTAATCTTTTTTTGTTAATTAGGCTATAGGATGTATTAGTTCCATGCATGAGAAAAAGCCAAAAGAGTCAGAGAGCAGCGTGTAATTCCCTTTACTAAAAGGCTGGTTTTTCTTTCTGAAATGCTTCTTTTTAGTGTGACTAATGTCCAGACTTTGATTTATGGAGACCAGGGAGCCAGAAGAAATGTGAAAGACCTGCTTGACTCGCAGCTGAATAATTACACCTTGCCTATATCCTCACAGGACCATTCTGCTATGAATGGCTCCCCAGCCCCTGTAGGATGGAAGATCATGCCTGCTGCACGATGCGGCGCCATGTTCAGGTCATCTCACAGGGGATTAAACCCCTAAAGACACCTGTCTTTAAGAGGAAATTATCCAAACTATTCTTAATCAGATTATGTAGCACACTGTCTTACTATCAAATTAAATAGAAATGGAAAATATCTCATTGAAAGGTTTATATATGGTTGTTTGTCATGATTTTCTTTATTCTGTTTGGCTTTGATTACTTTTCTTCTTTTTTTGTCAAGCTTAAGAATAATGCTTTCTTATTTAAAGCAAAAGTGCATTATCTGCATTTATTAGAAGAATCAGTGTATTTCATTTTAATGTAATGATCTCTGGTCAAAAACCTTTGATATACCTAAAAGTATCACTATGAATGAAACTTGATTTATTTGACAGGGATATTAAATTGCTTAGCATTGCTGCAAAGGAACCACAATAAGACTATTTTTAGCCTTTGTCCCTAAACAGATCTTAAACTTTTCTACCTAAAGTAAGCAACAATAAGAAGATTACGGTCATATAATTAATGTATAAAACTCTT